CATGAGTTCAATCCGAGGTGCCACACTGCCTTTTTTGACCAATTAGAGTGAGCTTCTGCTGGGCAGGGCTCAGACCTCCAGCTGGGAGCTGCCAGGCATATCTAACTGCAGCCCAAACAAACGGCACAGACTTCACCACAAACACATCATAACATGTGTTAGAACCCTAACCTCTTTGCTTCTCCTTGCTCCCATATGCAGCTGTCTTGATTAAAAACCTAGATATAGTTAACTTTTTTTTCCTCCCTTCACATTTCTAGCTCTACACATTCCTCTTTCTGTCTTCCTCTTCTTGCCTCCAGATGTTTCTCTAACCATGTCATGCAGACACTGACAGAGAGCGGTCAGGCTGTGTTCATTCCATCCATTTATTGAAAACAGATATAACAGGAAGAGTTCATTCCTGTAGAGCAGCCCCCCATTACAACAATCAATAAACAACGGCTGGTTTTAAAAGCATGTGTGACATTTAACAGATTTCAATAAAAAATGCACCATTACCTCTATAAAAAAGGGTAACAACTTGTGATGTATAACTCTCACATATTATAGAGGGAACACTTATAGTTTCTGGAACATTTAGTCAAAAATCAGCACTTTGCTTTCCAAGAAAGTACAAGTCACTATGACGGCGGATGTGGAAACATTCAGAATTAACCCAGTTGGAAAACACATAAAAACTTAACAGGACTTTATTGACACAGTTGTTTACCTGCCTCATATCCACAGAAAACTTGAAGGGAAATTCTAACAGTTTCAGACACTGTTGGGCCTTGAACTTTCTGGAAAAGGACTCAACTGTCAGTCCTAACCTCAAAACAGCCAAATGAATGGGGTCTGAGGATGGTAGTTAACAAGGCAGATGTCTACCACCCAAGTGGGCATCCTACATATGGTTGTATCCCATCCTCTTTTCTCTACTAAAGTAAAGGAGCAAGCATTAGTATGAATAGTAACATTTCAAAACTGATGATAGAACTCGCAGATTTCCAACATCCATTAACTAATCCTTCAGTTTGTGTAGTGCAAGTTTCCCCATATTTTAAAACATGCTTTAGAGCTTTGTTGTTTATTAAAGGCTCCAAAGCAGTTATCAGCCTTCAGGAATGAACCGGCTTAATAAGCGTATCTTTATGTTCCCCCATGACGGACGAGACCTGTCATCACTGTCAGCACCCCGGCTGAGTTAAGGAGCACCAAATGATTTTCCATAACACGATGCTGGCAGCACATTATTATTTATGCTTTTTTTCACCCCATAAGCCACAGTCAACATCGTTCAACAAAATTGAATTTTAATCGTTCTCCATATAAGAAAAGCAACCCAACTGCACACAATTAAAGCAGTGAGACACAAAGCAGACTATGTTGAAACATTTGGGCTGCATTATGAGGATGTTTACAAAGTTGAAATGGGTTATGTTTATAAGAAAGGCCTTCGTTTGGCTGCTTTAAGGAATGTTTAATTAATTTCAAATCCGTCAATCCTTTGGAATGTGCTCAATCATGTACGAAAAAAGTTTTAAAAGAAAACATATGAGGAAGCAGTCAACAATCTTTTACAAACTAGTTGACAGTAAACATCTATTTAAGGTTTCAGAGAAACTTTTTGAATGAACTTTGTCTGCTACTACTACTACTATTGCACTGAGGAATAATTTTGACCTTTTAGTTGCACTCGTTTTTAGTTTAACCTTCAGATAAAGTGGGTTCATCAAACATCCTTTTAGTCACAATATACTGGCATCTCATAATAAATGACTTATCATTAAGTGAGGAAAAATAATGGAAAAATACATACTTATTTATTATCTCCTGTTCTTCATCAGATAGAGTTTGCTTGGTTGTCTTTTAGGTCTCACCGAGGCCACGTAAACACATGTATGTCTGTGGCAACAGAGCCAGCTTTGTCCATTGATGAAGACTGTAAGATGTGATTAGGCGCTTTCACACCGGAGTACTTTTCCCAGGAATAGTTCTTGAGATTTTGCGTTCACACCAAAAAAATCTGGAACTAGAACTTAGTTCATGCGAACCTTTTCACCCCTTTTCAGTCCCTGCTAGAGAGCAGGTACTTTCCTGGGGAGGAACATTTTCCAATTTCTGATTGGCTGGGCGAATTGCAAACCACGACCCGTAAAACTCCCAAAACATTTTGTGAAGCCGCCATTTTATTTGCTGGAATTAGCATTATTAGCATTAGCCCAGCGCAACAACGGAGAGAGACTAACTTATGGCAACACAAAATAAAACGTGGGAACGGTGGAGTGATGAGGAGGTGTCTGCGCTTCTGGCGATTTGCCCGGGACTTCGGGAGACTCCAGGACTTCGGGTGGCTGTAAACGGCGTGAAGTTGTTTGCGGCCTGCCAGTAAACCCCAAACAGAAGAAGAAAAAGTGACGTCAGCGGCTTTATTTGCCTAATCCTCCCTCAGGAAGTTATTTCGGTGTGAACGCAATTTACTAGGACAGTTCCGGGACTAAAGAGTTCGGCGGGACTAAGTACTGGGAACTAAGTACGGCAAAGTACTTGGTGTGAAAGCGGCCATTGAAAACTCTGGGAAATGCTAGAAGACCCTGACTTACGGCTCAAACGTAGTATCAGGGTCCAAACTTAGTTGTTGAATTGGAAATGATGAGTTAACTGTTTAATGTACAGTATCACACGTAAAAAGAGAAGAAATTCATAATTATGATAAATTATTAGCATTTTTGGGTAATTTTTCATTGAGTTGCAGATTGACCAATGAAGAATGTTGTGCCATGCTCTGAATATAGTGTATTCTATATAATAACTGTTACTCTTACGGTTTAAAAACAGCAGGACAAGACCCTCTTTAAGCGCATTGTGGTAAACGATAAAGTCCAATCGACAAAAAAAACACATAACTGTGCTGTTAAAATTCCTGTTATTTGTAAGATGGGATATGCAGGTCAGAACGTGGTCTGCCAGCGTGATGCGTGCTCATGGTACATGTATGGCTCACATATGAGTACAGCATATGTTGACAGCAAAAACATTTGCTGCTCGAATTACTTGCGGAGGAAGGAAACAAATAAATCTGTCCAGATCCTTGTGTTCCCACAAAACCTCAAGTTATAAAGTGCATTGTGCCAGTGTTATGTCGTGCCGTCAGCGTCTTTGAGTTTGCAATTAATGATTTACGGTCTGAAATGTGCTACATTGTGGCTATGTCATGCAGAGGAATGTTGACTGGGAGAGAGACTCTGTAAAGAAGGACAGATTAATAACTAGATCATATCAGTTTCCTCGAGGGGCTAAAAAACAAAGGTGCACACGCAAGATGAAGACAAGCTTGTTGAGTAAGACAAATAGTATCTCTTATTGCAGTTTGCTGAGACTGCAACAGAGGCAGGTTGAACATGTGGTTCGGGAAATGAGACGTACAGGTTTGTGCCAGCAGTTGTCAGATTTCATTTTGTCTTTTAAACTGTCCCGGGGCAAATTACAATACACTCTGTTTTGGAGGATCCCAACGGATGTGCAAAACAGGGAGAATGTTATATTATCGCCCCATTGGTTGACTTTCATCAAGCTATCTATTCTACGATATCTGATCAAGCAAAAATGTCATAAAACTTGAGAATGTCATATCCATTTAGGCTGTTTATGTATTGTCTGAAGACTGGTTTAGTAGCTGTATTCAGCCAAGGAAACAATAACAGCATATCAGGATGAACCCTATCACAAGGTGTCTTTTTGCTGAATTTGTTAAAACAACAAGGGCGCTTTAGGTAAATCCTACACTGGATACATGGGCAGACAATAAACAAGCCAAAGGTCAGAAACTGAATATTTCAGACAAGGAAAAATGCAGAAATAGAAGAATCAAGTCAAGTAATAAGAAAACTAATATTAGCCGAGTCGTATTCTTGCTATTCCGGGGTGTTTCCTTACCCTCTGCTTGTTTTTCATAATGCAGTCTCAACACTTTTTCTGCTTCTGTGGTGGAAATCACACAATGGCCGATACTGATTGCTTTATTTTCTCAGTGTGTACCCCCCTCTCGCGTTTGTTATTGCAGAACAGGAGGATATGCCGGACAGGGGGGCGATGCTGAGCCTGCAGAATCCGAACACGTATTTTAATATAATAATTTGAAATCCATGGGGTTGAAGGGGGGCACACTGGAGGGAAGGTGCCGGGGGTCTGGATGCTTGCCGGGGGAGAGGGATGGGAGTGAGGTGCCGGATCACCAAGTCTGCTATGTATGTGAAAGGTGAGCACTGCTTCTGAAACTGCTTGAACGAAGGGTTCAGGTATGCAGTCTGGCCTGCACGTGCGCGCTAACTGTGGCCGATGTTGGACATGTGCACCCCAACACTGCAGCTTTTGCAACCCGCAACAGTCAAGCAAATCTCTACGGCTAAACCCACCACTGAGCCAGTGGTGACACAAGTTATATGCAAAGAAATTATTGTTTTAGTGGGTTAATATGGAGGCCACCTACACACCTGCCCAGAGGAATGTTTATCAGTATTGCATGTGGGGGGTTCCACCAATGGCATTCACTACATACCTATGATTCCAGCCGGGGATGTGGCCAGTGGTGCGGAAACCTCCACAGGTTGAGGAACAGTCAACACAGGAGAAATCTTTCCTGGTGCAGCATTTTTTTCTTCTCGTAGAAATCTGCATCTGTGCATTTAATCTGTAACATGTAAAAAAAGAAAGAAATATAACTGCTTTCATGCATGTCATCTGCAGCTCACTTTAGACAAGGATTTTCCAGATTGAAATGAACACCTTTGCTTTTTCTTATCAGAACAGAGTGAGCATGAGAGAAGAAAAGGGATTAAAAGTGTTGAACGTGTGCGCAGCTCTCTCTCTCTCTCTCTCTCTCTCTCTCTCTCTCTCTCTCTCTCTCTCTCTCTCTCTCTCTCTCTCTCTCTCTCTCTCTCTCTCCTCTCTCTCTCTCTCTCTCTCTCTCTCTCTCTCTCTCTCTCTCCTTTCAGACTGGATGTAGCGGTCCCTCACATCGGGGCTCTCCGTTTACATTATTCATACGGAGGAGGGTGTGACTTGTTGGCCCTTTTTTCCGCCTGTATAAAACGAGAAGTTCGCGTAAAAGAAAATACAGATGGAGAAGGCTAGCCGGCTCGCTGTGTCACATAGAGTGCCCTTAAGCCAACGTGACAACTCACATACTGTCCCTTTGTGACCAGCTTCATAGGCAGAATGCCCGGTATCTGCGTGCTTTGTCTGGCCGCCGCTCTGGCTGCGTTCACCCGGCTGGCCGGAACGGTGGGGCCGGTGGTCCGCTGTGAGCCGTGCGAAGCCAGGGCGCTCCTGCAGTGCACGCCGCTGCCCAAGGACTGCACGGAGCGGCTGAGGGAGCCCGGCTGCGGCTGCTGCATGACGTGCGCTCTCGGTGAAGGACAGGCGTGTGGAGTGTACACAGCGCGCTGTAGCTCCGGCTTGACCTGCCAACCCCAGCCGGGGGAGAGCCGACCCCTGCAGGCTCTGCTGCAGGGACGGGGAGTGTGCTCCAGCGCCGCGTCCAAAAAACTCAACAACATTCTTATAACGGAGCAAAAACAAGGTAGGCTATAGGTGTTTTCATTACATTTTTAATAGTTTGGGAATTATATTGTTGTTTTTTTGTGCGTGCGTAATTATTGGGTGTCGTTGACAGCCGCTCTCTCCATGAGGGGTTCTCTGTGCGGAGTTCCATGTGCATGTACAAAAAGAAAGTGCGTAGTATTGATAGTGGATGTGATAAAGACTGGCCTTCTGAAGATGCAAAGCACAAATAAATATGCGCAAAATGCATTCTGTGGGCTGTTTTGCAGCCTGCCACAACGTAAATCACCATTTTAGTCGTGGGGTTTTAGAGGGGAGGCTTGACATTGCACAGTGATGTGTTCGCCTGGGTTTAACAAATCCCATAGGCTCCTGAAAGTTTTAGTGGATAACACCAGCTGGGTTGGACGTTTACGCAGCAATTTATCGTTGCTTTCCCACCAGGAGGAATCTCTTTGTGTACTGATTTTGACAATTATGCGTTATATGTAAAATGAAATGTAAGGTTTTAAAAGATTGTCGTGGAGAATGTTTGTTTAACGGTAAGGATAACACTGTTCTAACACACACACACACACACACACACACACACACACACACACACACACACACACACACACACACACACACACACACACACACACACACACACACACACACAGCCTGGCTCCCTCAAACCAATAGTTAATGCCACATTCAGTAAGCATACCGAATTTAGCTGAGGCTGAGCCCAGACCATGAAGGAAAATAAGGACATTACAGAAGACAATTCTGTAATGTCCTTATTTTCCTTCAAGGAATGCTCATGGATTTTTGTACACGGCATGAAAATATGTGCTGCCTCTTTCCTTGTCCAGGATGTTTGCCAAAACATCTCGACTGTGTGGCAAAAGAGAAAGCGGGGGGGGGGCAGGCAATGTCCCTGAATTCTCTATAAGCAACCAATGCAACAAGACTTAATCATTGAACTCAAAATGTGCACCTGGTCAATGCATGGTTGTTTCTCTAATATTAAGAGATATTTTATATCTGCATAGTGTTTTGTGTGAATGGATGCGTGCTGCTCGCACTGGTGAAACGGCACACATGCCACCTACATGTGAATACACACTGTTGTGTGTATAGGCACTGCTGACGTCAGACCTCCAGGAGCTTCTGTGTGTTTTCTTCTTCCTGGTTATTTGTTTTGGCCATGGTGTGCAAGCACACATTGTCATATACACACACATGCTTATGCATCCACCAGCATACACACAGTTACTGCAGTCCTACTTTTTCACTTCCTGACATGTAGCCTGCATATTTCTCCTCCTCTACTGTCAGTTATTATGCCTTTTGAGTCTTTGATTAAACACACAAATAACATTATTTCCAATTTAAGAGCAAAGAGATGCATCTTATAGCACTGTTATGGCTTGTCAAGAAGAAGACAATAAATATCAGCCATGAGACAGGTTTCAATACAGTCTATGGTCTCAATGCATGCTTATTTCTAGTATCTCCCCTATTGAAGAAATGTAGGAAATGATCCCAAGCGCCCCTGATGGTGAGAGTGTGTAAATGCGGCCCAGTGGTTTCCACCACCATCAGTCCCCAGCTCCAGTGCAGCCTCTCCTCCCAGACATTAACAAGCTCTCCTCACCGCAGTTTGTGGTGTTTACCCCTATGCCATTATACAAACAAATTGCGTAATGTGTTTATCTAAAACGCCCCAGACTTCCTAGAAATGTTATATAAAAGTTTATATTGACAATAAAAATTAATGCTGGCAAGAATCTTAAAAAGGGCTCAATATTGTTGTCCTTGTTTATGGAAGTTTATGGACATTTTTTGAAGGGTTCAGAAAACCCATGTGAAGGTTGTTTTAGGTTAAAAGAGCTGTTGGTTTCTGACGTTGTCTTGTTAGTTGATGCTGTTGTTGACATTCATGTTGTTATTCCAAATCCGAAGAGCCTGGGAGACTATGGAGCCCCACCACCTCACTAATTGATCAGGTGGTCACAGAGAAAGGGTGGGCTGCCAGCCTGCCTGCCCACACGAGCTACACCCCTAAATGTCCGTCCGCCGCCCTCACCGCAGCTCTCAAACACAAAATCTGCTTTGAGTTAACGGTTTAAAACTGTGTTTGGGTGTGTGTGAGCCACTGCATGTGTGTTCCCATCGTGCCTCTGCCTCTTCAGGACGTCTCCAAGCTCAGTTAGCTCCTCCGACTTTGGCCTTGTGGTGAAGTTACCCGGTAGGCGGCACATTGCGTGTAGTTTGGTCAATTCCTATATTAGGTAGGAGTGTATAGAGCCCCCTCCTCTCTTCCCAATTGGTCAGATGGTCCCCCCTCTGTCTTTAACGGTTTGACAGTAATCTTTGCCAAAGGCTAATAATATATCTGCTCCCTCATCTCCCACTTTATCTCTTGCTGCGCTAACCTCCTCCTCTTTTAGCCACAATCCCCTATTTCACCATCCTACACATATAAACGCATACATAACATGTTCTTCTCCCAAGTGACCTTAAAAAGTCTTGTTTACACTCATTGAGCCTCTGCAACTATCTTTTGGTCTGCATGTTGTGGAAATGTGTGGATATTAAATCATCATGTTTCTGTTTATTTTCTCCAACCCACGAAGCAATGAGCTAACTTTTTTTCTCTCTTTTGGATTAAGAGACACAGCCTTTTAACATCCTGTAGAACAATGTTTTATTGGAATAGTAAAGTAAAATCATAGCTGATTTGATGATATTAAGTCACTGTTTTTGCACAAAATAGATATTTATTGTAAGAATTCAAGTTTTTCTGAAACCTTACAATTCAGATTTGTAAAACTTGTATTTTCTGGTGAAACAAGTTATTCTACTTTTCCAGCACACTGTAAATAGGAAATATATGAGTATGTAGGCAGTCTGTGGAGTCCAATGTAGCCTACATTTGAAGAATTTAAGTATATTGGTTTTGGGCACTCGCTCTGAGGTTATGTAGTAAAACTGCCTCAAGGACAGGTCGGATATGTAGCTAAATGTCATAGGATCTGATGCTAACTTGTGCATTGTTCAGTTACAAACATTTTAAAACTGATGACTTGCCTTTACCCCTTCAGATAACGCTGGAAATCAGGTAGTAGGCTGTTCCAACAAGACCACAACGGTGACGATGGGGCCTGGCGTGGTGACCGTGAAGCGTGGGCACAGTCGGGGGTCGATTGACAGCAGGCTTCCGATGCACAACAAGCTGATCCAGAAAGATCAGAACAAGAAGACTCAAAGCTTCAAGTTGGAATCGGTTTCAGGGGGAGCCAACATGGACATGCACAACTTCTCCCTGGAGAACAAGAGGGAGACCGAGTATGTAAGTCACACTAAGAGGCAATGAGATGTCTGTAAAGTGTTATAGTGTTGCTATACTTGTATGATAAACAGTAGAGGTTCTGAGAGACCTGCTACAACCAGTGGCGTTTTTATATGTACAAAAGTGGTGGGGCACAACAAACTTAGATGTCTATAAGCTTTTGCAGTGAGGTTCATGGCTGGTGAGGCACTGGCACTGACTCTTCAGGTTTACAAATATTATATTTTGACCTAAATCAAAATATAATATTATTTTCAAAAGCTTTTTTTGTCTGATGCTTCAATTAATTTTAAACAGACAGTTCAACAGAAGGATACCCAAAAAATATAATTGTATCATTTCAATATTGAATTGTTCTCTCTTAGTAAGATCCCATTTTCAATCAAATTGCAGTCTTACCTTGACTTGAAGATTAAGTCCATTTGCCTATCCTTCTGGACAAAAATCTCTATTACTTTTTTGTAAAAGTCCTCCTTATGTTCTTGTAGTTTCAAAAGTCTATCATAAATCTAATCTAATCAATAGATTTATGATTCGAAAATTATAAAAGTAGGGTAGACATGTGGATATTATCCGGCTGAACAAAACGTGCATTTATCTAACAGGTTTGTTTCCCACAGATCTTATTTGGAGCTATTTTCTAAAATCCTATGGAGAAATCTCATTGCTTTTTTATCGAGGGAAGCCATGCGCAGCTTACTTCCGGGTTTTAGGACGCCTCACTGCAGCTCTCTCGTCTCCTCTTCACACACCACACTTTTCGCGGCACACGTACTTACAGCCAATCAGCTCTGAATTATGTGAGATGACGTATGGTGGGGATGGCAGCTCAGTGCCCCTATGGTCATTATTTTTTTGCCACACACATTAAATAGGAAAATATTCTGAGCATGCGCAGTGTAGTTTTTACAGTCACCATTGACTTAGACAGTGAGAGGGAGGGGCATGATCGGGTTTTGTCCCACATGGCTCTAAACAGCTCAATAGGCACACACTGTAGACACTAATTAGAAGAACACAGACTAAAACAGCAATGTACAGACGAATCAGATGATTAAACATGATCTTAAAATATATTTAATATATATATATATTTTTTTTTTTGCATTTTTTTGTAATCATTATTTGTAATACTTTCTGCTGACACTAGGTGGAGCTGTGCCCCACCTGCCCCTAATGACCAGTCGCCACTGGCTACAACATTTAAAAAGCAGACATTCAAATTTCAACATGATAGTGTTTTGTTTGCCTTTTGAAAACAGAAATCAGGAACATTACGCCAAAAGGTCCAAAAAAAAGCGTCCTTAAAAAATCATTAGCGTTATCTTGCAATGTATTTTGCTAGCAAACTAGTTAGCTCTCATTCTTACGTTACAAAACAATGCTTTGCGTAGCATGCATTTACTTTGAACAAAGTTATATACATTTAAGTGTAGGTGGCAATATGATAACAATAATAAAAACAACATAACGTTACCCCGGGGCAGATAATCGCAGAGGCTGACAGCAGCCCGGTGTTTTGCTAGCTAGTTAGAGTTAGCTCTCGAGCTACTATTTAGCAATATTTATATTTTCACACATTTATAATTAATAAAGTCGGTCGTTACTTTCTTGTTTGCTAGTTAGTAAGCTCACTGACGTTAGCTTGCCGTAATTCGCAAATTCGGCCAATGCAAGCCAGCTAACTAGTGATATTGCTTGTTCAGTTAGGTAGATAGCATGTTGTCTAACTTGTGGCCGACTTTTATCGATTTTCTTTTATATTTGACAAGTTTTAGTTTGTTACCTGAAGTTTTGCCAGCCGCTTTTACCACTTGGCACTACAGCCTAGTGGGCGTTCAGGATAGAGAGACGCAACCACGATAACCCATGCACTGCACTATGTGACATTATTAATATAAAGATAAACCAGATACAATCATAATAAGAAACTGCTTTTGATGTGAAATGTGGTCAGTGCTATTATATTTCATGCAACTAGTCTTTCAATAAAGTAACCAGAGTAGCACTTAAATTGTCCATAAACCTATATTCACAATTGTTCAAGGCTGTCTTTAAACATTTATCAGGTACCCCAAACATTGTCTCAAACATATTTCATACATGTTTAATTTGTATTACTGTAGTAGAAAAACCACAGGTGCAACAAATTACACTAACGACCAAGGGTGCATGATACCAGGAACCTGAAATCAGTAGTTAATAAAAACTATCAATTATTAATTTGATTATTTACACCTATTCATCTTTGGACATTGCATTTTATTTAGGTTATTTAGGTTATTGGGTTATTTTCAAAAAGGTTTCTTGACTTAAAACTATTCCTGATCCAAAATCGATACTCAATTCAATACAGCAGGGTGCTTAATTTACTGTAGGATGTACTAATGAAGGCTGTGTGGAATGAAAGCATAGTAAAAATGTTATAGGACTGCTTTTTTAAATATTTGATAAAGTTGTATGAACTGATTGCAATAATGTAAACACACACATGCAATCCAAGGACAAAAGGTCATGTTTAATCATGCTCAACTTCCACAAATAAACACCTAAATAAATAGTATTTCTAAATCACTGGTGACTTAAAATAACAATAACTAGTTCCAGTTAAAGAAAAATCTTCTCTGCATCTGAAACTCACCAGATTCCAAATAAATGGTGTTTTAAAGTTGATATATGGAAGATCTTCTTGAGAGTCACAGTTCCCCTTTTTAGGACTAACCTCTGTCAATAGGCATTAAACCATATGCTATTTTGGGACAGCAGTCTGCAACATTTGCATTGCATGCCTTGGACTCCACCTGCTGATTAGCAGACCTGGTAAAGAGGGAGAACTCAAAATTACCTGCTGAAGGAATTTATTGGAATTACTGCTGGCTCTTCATAGCATATGGATGCATTTGGCAAGAATGCATACAGCTGTCATCCTGTGGTAGATGATTTGCGTGCACCCTTGAAAAATATACTAACAGTTAGGGGAATCTCAACAAGACCTTGCTCTGCAGACCGATTTGTTTTTAAATACTCCACAGAGTACCTTTATAAGTTATTAACTATCATTTTTAAACAATATTTTCTAGAAATGGTAAGCCTGTACAAAACAATAGGATAATCACTGCAACCCAAAGTCTTATATTTCTCAAATGTTTGTTTGAAAAAGCAGACACCAACATTCTGTTCATCATATACTGTGTAAAAATTATCTTTTTGTTTGACTTAAAATCAACTTAAAGGGAGAGTTAATTGGACATTCTGATGTTAACCATGAACTAGCTATAATTGCATTGTGATGGTGTAAGGATGAGTGTGTAACAGTGGCGTCCCCGGCGTGTGTTTGCCTTGTTGCTAGGGGCCGTGTCGGCGGGAGATGGAGAGCATCCTGAGCGGTCTCAAAATCAGCAACGTGCTCAACCCGAAAGGTTTCCGCATACCCAACTGTGACAGAAAGGGCTTCTACAAGAAAAAACAGGTGAGTGGCTCTCTCTGCTGTTTTATCTCCCCTTTTCACTCACACACTTCAACAAGGACACACACTACTGCTGACATGGAAGTAGACCCACCGCATGCCTGAACACTTCCAAAGAATCCTAAGCGACTCATCCCACCCACCCACACATGCACAATCCCCCTTTCTTTTCTTTTTTTTGCAGCTCAGGTTGCCTTGACAGCCACATCAACACTATATTATCAGAATGGCTAATAACCATGTATTACTCTCCGGTAAATGCACTGCAGCCGTCTGACTCATGCCTCACAGGAAATGAAGTCGGTCAGGTGTGTTTGTGGGTGTGTGGTGTGGGAGAGTGTGGGGGGTAGGGATGTAAGAATGCGGTCTGGGAGTGTGTGTGGCACGGTAGATGTGGCGGCAGGGGAGTGTATGTATGGCGCTTGTTTGATGGCGGTAGTTTTGGTGAGGGTGTGTAGGTGTGGGGTGCTGTTGGTGAGGTAAAAAAAACAAACAGGCTGTCACTGGTTTAGTTTTTCTTGTCCGTTGTACAGCAGATTCAGGCCACCCATGGCCTGCTCATTTGTAAGACTGGAGGAAAAAGAAAACGGGAGGAGGGGATCGTTGGGAAGGTGTAGAGTAGATGGGAGGTGTTGTAGCGGAGTACTTAGACTTAAGGCATGTCAAATTGATACCACTGTCCCATTTCCTGAGATTGGGAGCCTTATCGGAGGGCTTCCGCTGAGATAGAGCCCATTCTGAGAAACGCTAGAGTCACCAAATAAAATAAACCCACAAGCACCATGACTCAGAGACCAACTCGAGCCATAACACACACAAAGACACACACACAAATCCTTACTCTTTTCCAGCCTAAAAAGTTAGGCTTCATTGTTACTTTTATTAAAATCAGTGTATTTTTCTTGTTCTTTTCCTGGATTACATCAACAAATACCTACAAGGAAAGTGTCAGTTCTGTTCTTCTAAGCATGTGTGTGTGTTAATGTGTATGTGTGTGTGCAGCAGTGTGCCAGCTCTTGTCGCCCTTTTCTCAGAGGGTTCGGTGGGGTAGGGGTGTTGCGTTAAATCCATCCGAGGGGATGTGCCTTCACGGTGTGCTGCGGAGATTTATGACCGGAAACACAGCGAAGAGGAGACCGTGTGAACCGTTTAGGGTGACAATACTGTGAAAAGAAGGGAGCAAGGGGGGAAGGGTGGGGGGAGGTCGGAGGGAGGGATGAGCGGGTGGATGGTGGGTGACGGACTTTGCAGAGGAAAAAAGGAGCATGAGCATACACATGATACACAGGATGCCTCAGTATATTAATACTCAGGCACTGTTGAAAGGTGGCTGGTAGGAGACGGTAGTTTCATCTTTCATGGGGACCTTTTTACCCAAATAGTACCAGGAAATAAATTGGGAACTTACCAAGTGGTTCCAGGAAGGAAGGATCAACAGGAATTAAAATGTGAACTATACATAAGTCCCTTTGTGGTTTCCTGATAACAGATTAGATGATGGTAGATAAAGGTTACATATTTCACAGACAAAGAAGATGAAACATAGATTCGTAAGTTGGAAAGCTGTTGCTCGTTTCCTACAGTCAGGAATTTGGATACATTTCTATTACTTTTGCAAAACTTACTCCACATGGTAAAATTAGCATCAGCCTTGTATTGCTTTTACCTTGATGATCATACAGGGAGACCAGTATGTGATATTAAGTACAGCCGACTTTGAAACATTGGTTGCTGGTCCACCAGAAAGCACTAACTTCCACTACAGTACTTTTATAAGATAATAAACTAGAAACAGGTTCATCTGGTCGAAATCCAGAAAACCGCCCAGAGTTCGTAGAAGGTTTTAGGCTTCCTGGAAAAGAAAAGGCCCTATGGTCATATTCGATGAATCATGGATTCAAGTTGTGATATATTTGACCAGTAAATTAAAAGGAAGAAATTGATCATAGAAACCACATCTGCAGCATTATTTGGTAGCCGTCGCTCAGTGTGGATATTGGCTGTCTACCAATCAGGGGGTCAGAGGTTCAATTGTCTGCCCATATGCACTTCATACAATATTGAAGTGAATGTAAGTCGTTTTGGATAAAAGTGTCTGTCAATTGTTGTGACTATGTGCGCATTACCTGCGCATTACCTGGGTTGAATAAGAAAACTTGCCAACCTTTGCGTTGATGCCATTTACCACACTCAAAATCTTAGAACTTTTGACCATCTTTCTCACATTCTCTTCCAAAAATGTTAAGGTTTTCCCTAGGAAACCAAGAGCTTTGGTCCACCATAGAAAAAACTCATGATTTGGTATCAAACATTTTTGACATTTGGAGATTCCTCTAGGAATCGCATTTTCAGTCAATGAATGGCAAGCACTTTTGTTCTGGAAATGCCCCAGAAACCCCCACATCATTAATATGAGCCCAACGTCCTCTGAAAGCCCTCAGTCTTTGGATTGCTGTTCCAGACACTTAAGAAAATCTCAACGCAGCAGACATATTTGTTTTTCACGCCTGCTTCATCAACGGTACACGTCACATTCAATTAAATTATATTTATTTTGGTCCCAAAGGGGCAATTTGAAAAGGCATCTAGAGCATACTGCAACAATAACACAATATAAGAAAAATATAAAGATAAATTAAAAAGCAATCGATGAATTAATAGTATGTTATGAAATAATAATATGTGTCTTATTGGCCTGTTGATGGCAATATTTTATTTTAAAGCCTTTATCTGCCTAAACTGCTAGTGGAGCCTCACAGATGGGGGTGCTGCAGCCCCCTCAGCACCCCCCCCCCCCTTCCCGCGTCCATTTGCGATGTCTCGCTGTCTCGCAGACCCCACGCAGCAACCAAGATTTTCATCGGCATAACTACTCTGTAGCTATGTTCGTATGACTAAATAAAGAACCTTGATGACAGACAGATGTATCAACCTTAAAGAGACACTTTTTTAAGACTTGAGGATATGTACATACTATAAAGATGGATTAGTGGCAGAATATTGTTTTAAGAGGTCAACTATCATGACAAGCATTTACGTGTGTGCTTTCCAGTGTGTACGTTGCTGGTAATATGAGTGCATAGGAGAAGGTTGGCTGAGCAGTGTGAGCCCTACCTCGGCTACAGGGAAAGTATTTTTAGCAACAGTTATATGAATTGGCCCAGTATCCCAGTTCAGGCCATGCATGCCCAACACTGACCCACTCATTACACCTCTCAAAGTCTCACATTCACTCTCACTTCTCCTCCCTCTCATGCACTGTCACTCTCAGGCTCTTATTCATAATTTCACCCACCCATCATTGCCCCCCATTGTGCCTCGCCTACAGTCATTCACCCGTCTTTTCTTCTGCTTCCCTTCTCCCTCATTCTGCCCATCCTGCCTTCTGCCCACCTGGCTTTCCCCTTCCTTGTTTGGCCAGGAATTACCCTGCAGAGGTTTGTGAATGGAACGCCAGTGTCTGTGTTTTGAGAGGAAGAGTAGGAAGAGGAATTGGCAGTGGGTTAAGGATGCTAGCCAGGTGCCTGCATACCCTATGCCTCCTCCCTGCTGACAGTGGCAGGCCCATAAGTAACTTATTGAGCGTGACTCAGAAGGATCTGTGGAAACGTACACACCGACCACAATGGCTATATAATAACTGGCCAACCTTCGGGGACCCAGACAGCTATTTTCACTCTGTCTCTCTCGCTCGCTCTGTTCCCTCCCCGGATTTCTAATCCACATCGGCTTCCTTCTCACTTGGGGATGTGGAGACGCTTTTTTTTGTTCTTTGGTTGTAACATAACATTGAGAGTAGTATGTTGCATCGTCACAATGATTTCACAGACATACTGTATGTCAGTGTATGAGTTGAGTTTTGATACCCCATCCTGAAATGTTGCTTCAGCTAATCATCACTTTTATTATTGCCAGTTTATCATTATTTTCTTACGATCATTAGTCTTAGAATCAATCGAAGATTATATTTTCCAGAAACAAGGGTTATTGTAACAAAATGTCTGTATCTGACAATGTAAAAACTATTAAGGAATATATGACTGTATTTTAGGCCCTAAAGTTTATAAATTGTCAAAGCGATGCCTTTCAAAAGTTGGGAGATTCCTTATTACAGTACAATACGATTGAATTTATTGTCTGTGTAAGGAGATTTGTTCTGGACTTGGTCTACAGTTCCACAAAATATCAACAAAAAAATGTATACATAGTACAGATAGAAACCCACATATACTCAGTTTTCACATACACCTATACACAGACAAACCTACTGACATGGCAAACATTTAAACTATATATTACATTTGTCTGTTGAGAAGCTTAATGGACATTGGCAGGAATGAGTGTTTGTAACTGTTCAGCCTGCTTTAAGGGAACCTACATCTAATTAAATAATATTAATTTTGTGTTTTTTTCCTCAGTTGGTAAAAGTATTCAATACAAAATAATATGAGATTGTGCACATTAGCTAACATTAGAGAAACTTTAACATGCTAATTATAAAAATTGGTAGTTGATTAATGACTTTGATGTTAATCAGATTTTCCATTGAATTATTTAACTCTCATCAAGTCTCCTCTTCTTCCATTCATATTGTACCATCTGTTTTTGCAAGTCTGGTTTATATTGATTCTTTTGGCTCCAATTTGAAAGTTTGTATAGCTCCATTCTTCTAAAACAAACAAATTATTCTGGAGCTTAATTCACTAGGACTCTCAATAAACAATCTTCTTTTTTAGAAAAAGCAATATCCTGCAGCGACTCCCAATGCACTTACATACACACACGCACACAGATGCACCCTATTTTACATACATTCATATATATATATATGCACCCCTACACACACACACACGCTGCATTTTATGAGCTTGTGTTTATCCTGTGGTCAGCCGAGGCTCTTTTTAATGTCTGTGAAGCCCAGCGGTGCTGCTATTAGCTATAAAGGCCGGCATCACAAGAGCACGCATTCATACGCACAACACACACACATACACACCCCATAA